GGAGGCTCGCAGTTACTTAGAACTTCTAGAAAAACAGAAAACACAGACTGGTAATATTTATTCAGAACATTCGCAATGTACATTATAAAATTAACACGAAAAATGAAAGCATTCTCTATTTATTGAAACGAAAAGAAACCAATGAGAGAATTACCACTTAATTCCCACGTCACTTCTATATACAATCATATCAAAGTAATCAAGCAATATTCTCAAATCTACTTCCAATCTCCGAATTTCCATCGCGTCGATGATTCGCGAGCCTAGCGTTCAACACTCCTCCCAATCATCGTTCCCAGAACATAACAAAGGAACACGAGATGAGATCTCTTTCTTCGGAAGAAAGGGACACCGCGTAGATCGTCTTGCCGTCCGATTCCCCGAAAGAAACAAGATCACGCGGTATTTCCGTCCCCGTGATTCGTAGCTTCTCGAACAATTCCGAGCGTTTCCGATCGAGATCCGCGGATCGTGGGAATCGTCGAAACGCGACGGATCATTTCCGACGGCGGGGGCAGGGTTAGAACAAGGGAAAGACGGGTCGATCGTCTCGAATGTATTACACGACGGCGAGGCGCTCCCGGTTAAGGATGTAAATTCCGCTCGGTTACGTCTCCCCCGGCCGCGGGCCACCGTTTTATGCGTTCGAGAACATAATGCATCGCGGGATCGTCGCCGGAGTCCTTTTATTTCGTGCACGATAAATTTCCAGGAATCCGGCCGACCGTATAACACTGAATCCCATGTTGCGAAGTATGCGGCATAATATGTCCGTACGGCGAAAAAGTATTCCGAGTAGTCGCGTTCCGAGCTCGCGGCACGAATATAAAGGAGAGGAGGCGGACGGGCACGGAATTCCCTCGGTGTTAGCGCGCCGCCGACGAGGATTGCTTCTTCACCAGACAAAACCTCGGAAGATTGTGTACGATCGTTTCTAGAGACACCGGGATAAGGTTCGCTGCCGGTCGACGATAATCCGGGGACAATGTGCCGCTCTAATCCGGGGTTCGCGTGAGATCCTTAACGCGCGATTTTTACTCGATTCGGCAGGTTGGGGAAATAATTGATTTTGGAACGTGGTATGCTGGCATTGTGTTTTTTTCGTGATTTAGATTATATAAGATGCTGATCTTTTCTATATCGTTTCTATGCAGAGGAACGAATACTTCGATGGAAGATGAAAATTTACAATTGTTTCCTGGATTTGCCAATTTCTTTTTAATGGAATATACTGTTTAATGAGCATTTTTATTTAACACTACCAAAGGGGTCAAATGACCCATGCATTCTTTTTGCAATTATTAGAAAGGTAACGAATGTCTGAGAAATTATTAAATATTCATTAGCACTACGCAAATTGAATTGTAAATTAAAGTCTGAACAGATGCACTCTTGCAGTTTCTATAGCGAAATTTTAACTGTAGCTTTCTATGTAGACTTTGCTAGAAATCTGTATTTTGTTTGTTTTGTGGTAATGTAGCAGTAATTGCAATAACGTATTGTTATTGTAAAATATTTGCCTTGGAATTTAATAGACAAGCGAGTAGATTTCGCGAGTATTACCTTCATCGTTAACGTTATTCTCCTTCCCCCGTGTATCTAGGTACGAATGCTCTTTCCAACAATAACACAAGAGTTAACTAACGATCGCGCAAACAAAGTTCGTCGCGTTCGTCAGTTTTAGCCGATCAAGCGGGTAACGCGATCGCGTTCGGCCGCCTGCAGCGGAACAGTGAAACGGAATTGGAAAGTAATGCGTGTATGGACGCGTGTAAACGTTTAAACGCTTATAAGCGTTCGTAAACGAACTGAATAGCGTGTCTGTTTTCGAACGTGCGTTTGTAAACGTGTAATATAATTTTCAAAGGTGTAAACGTGCAGACCGAAGCGAAAACGTATAGCGAACGTAATTTTGCGAAATAGGAACGTAATTTTCACTCTGTACACTGCAGACCTGCAAATTTACATCAGATTGTTAAGAAAAATTGTACATAGACCAGCATACCACTTAGTATTCATCAAAGAAAATTAGTAAATTAATTTCGAATCTCATTGATAATATTAAGTCTCAGTGAAGTCATGATCTATAATTAAATTGTGCCAGCTTTTTACTTACAAAGCAATTAAACTTCAAAGCGTACTTACTCCTCATATTCCATTTTTCACTCCAAATAAAGAAATGCATAGCACATAACACAATTAAACAGTAAATAGGATACTCATCAACAACTATGTCACTACTTCCTAAAGAATACGCGCATAACAGTAATAAATTTCAAAAATGCAACATTGCATTCCAACAAAGAGACTCAACGAACAAGCAACCCGAGAGGAATTTGAAAAACATCCTCCCCGCGACTTCCGTTCGACGCGAGAAATTCCGAACTAAATTCGCGCGTAACTCGCGAGGCGATAATCCCGGCAATCTTATCAGCGCGGGCGCGCGCGCGTATCGGTGCGTGCGTACTCGTGGAACCGTCTCGTTCGTCTATTCCCCCGACACTTTTGCCCCAGTTAACGATGTAACGAGCGGCCGGCCGGAGACAGAGACACCGCGGCGCGCTGGAAAGCCGGGCGGACACGCGTGTAAAACGCGCACGGGCACGGTTACACGCACCGTTTATTGATTTATCGTTGCGGCGCGTCGCGTGTCACGTAGCCGCGTGACGTATGCATGCACAGACGGCGCGGCCGCGAATCCAAAAACGGTCCGATGTAATTCGGGGATGCGCGCCCGCCCGGCCGCGGGAAGCTTTGGGGAAAAATGTTTCGATGCATGCTCGCGTCGTAATGGCGCGCTTTAATCAATCTTCCCGGGCCCGGAGCGCGTTGACATATGAATAAATGATTGACATCGATTCGTATCGGCTCGATTGGAAAGTTCGCGACGCTCCCGCCGGTGGAGAGCCGCTTTATTACCTTCGCGCTGCAGGCATAAAGTATCGATTGATCCGCCCCGCCTCGCGCCTCTACGATTCACGCGGTAATTATTCTTTGATCCTCTGATTTCCTTGCGACAGATTTCCGAGGGAGACTGCGAATAATATTCTTCTTTCTGCGATCGTTATGTAACATTGTTATCTTTGTGAGATTGGCTTGTTAACCTCTTGCACTACAACGAGCGAGACTCGTGAAGATTTTCAATATGATTCAACAAATATATGTATTAATTCATTCGAATTCAAAGTAAATATTATTCCTCTGAAAGGAAATATAGGCATAACATATGCTTAGAATTTTTCTCTTTCTCCAATAAGTTATTAACCAGTTAAGCGTGGAATTTAACTCTCTCTTCTATGACCTCTCTCCTAAATATGTTCGATGAAGCTACATCGTCAATATTCAGAAAAAGGAAAGAATTTAAGAGTAATAAATTCTAAGAGTAATAAATTCTCTAACTATTACAAATAATATTTTTCTTTAGCAGTTAAGTGTGGAACTTAGTTTGAAAAATCTCTCATTGTCGCAATAGAATCAAATAATGAAGTGTATACTCGTTAGATACAGGCCAAATGCACTTAGAATATATCCTAACGAAAAACTGAAGCGAAAAGAAGAATGACACGTTTGTATCAAAAAATAAATAATCCACCGTTGAAAAAGTTAGCACCATTAAGAGTTCTAAGATGACGTGTATACTCGTCAAACACAGTTAACTGGTTAAGTAGCGGTATCGATCAAAGTTAAGAAATCATAGGTCAAGGGGTTAACTACGTGGACGTATCAAACTCGGTAAAACCAGAATTGTCTCGAAACAGTTTAGAAACTAATGGAACAACGAAGCAATATGAAAGCTTTATTAATTCGTAGAAGACAGCGATTCCATGAAAGCTAGGAATAAACCGTAAATCAGGAATTATGGGGTTTCCCATCCTCGATCGAGCTTCTAGTTCAATTTGATTTTCCAGTTGAACTCGCGGAGATAAGAATGGCTAGCATCGCGACTGAATCTCAGCTCCGCCCGAAAGGGAAATCCCCCGTAACGGAAGGGAGAAAGCGAACGATGCCGTTCGGAAACCCGTAAACTTTTTTCCGAATCAAAGCCGGATGAAAAATGCGTGGGCTGCGCGTGGCCGGCCTGCATCCGCCGCGGCAAAAAGGTATCCGGCTGCCGGTCGCGGCCCGTGGAAATTTTTTATTCGAATTCCTCGCGGTCAGAGCCACGGGGATGAACTTTAATCTGCGTTATAGAGAGGCCAGATTGAATACGCCGGTGGGGAACGCGGCGTGGAAATTGTTTTTCCCGAAAATTCATTCCGTTGGGATGATTCCGCCCTCGATTTACGGGGGCGGCGTGTATCGGCGCTCTTTCATTTGTTTAGACGCGGCGGAGCGAGCCCGCGCACGCGGAATTTAATCCGGTAACGAGTTCGCAGTGGAATCAGACGGAACGCTCGTAAGTTTTACGCGAGACGCGTCTGATTCGACCGCGAGCGTGTTTCAACATCAAATTCCGTGTACTGTGAATCACTTGTTGAGGGTTTTCAGGAACTTCTTTTTTGATATAGAGGATGTGATTAGGGGAAAATCCTTGAAATAATCCTGACTTCTATTACTATAATCATTTAACCAGTTAACTGTGGAATTTAGTTGGGAGAACCTCTCGTCCTGCGCGCAATAAAATCGAAAAATGGAGCGTGTACTCGTCGAACGCAGGACGAATGCGCGTAGAGTATATTTTAATGAATGATCAAAGCGAAACAAAGAAGAAATGTTTATGCGAAGAAATAAAGAATTCATCGCTGAAAGAATTAGTATGTCAAGCCTTACGATGACGTATATACTCGTCAAACAGTTAACTGGTTAACGAAGCTTCCTTTCCGGAGAAACTGTTCAATGACTTAGTATAATAAAATAGGAACTGAAATAAAATTGAATCAACGTCTCAATGAACTTTAACCCTTTGCACTCGAAAGTTCTTCACATATTCAATATTCCGATGAGATACAGACGATTCTTTGAAGTTAATTAACGAGGAAACATATATGAATTGAAAAGTTATTTTATTTGAATACTCCACATATTGATGCATCATAGGAAGCTTAATATTATACATAAGACTATAAGTTTGCAAATCAAATCAAGTATGACTGAGAGTCACCTCTCGAGTGCAAAGTTAATAGTTTCCATAAACGAAGTATTTCCCCCGACTGATAAGTTATGACATTACTCTTTTGGAATAATCGATGAATGTTTCCCGATAGCAAAGCACATCAGAACACCCTTCTCCCTCGTGTTAAAATCGAATCCGTCCTTAACCCGAGTGCTCGAGTATCGTCTTCGAGCACGCGTTACGTATCAACCGGCTAATCGCCTGTTGCCACCTCGCCGCGCAAACACGCCGTTGAACGCGGCGCGATCGAATTCAACATTTAAGCCCGAGACCCAGGCCCGATTTTCGTTCGCGCGAGCGTCTGATCCGCTCGAAGCGACCCGCCGCGGAATCGTCTCGCGCTCCACCGCGTCGTTCGCTGTCCGGCATCAAGAAACGTCTTCCTACGGCGTTATTATTAGTTTTAGTAATATTATTATTAGCGTTATTACGTATGTAAATCGCGCCCACGCATCTTCCCCGCGTGTCCCATAGAATCTGAAAACTCGAGATTTAAACGTTACACGATTAACAGTGTCGATCCTACGGTGTGCCTATTTAATAGGAAACATTACTCGACAGGTTCGCGCGGGATCCCGTTTTTTTTAGCATTTTCTTTTTCTGCCTTTTCGCACGCTCGCAGCACCATTCAAGTCGTCCCCGTTCTCTCTCGTTCGTGCTCGTCCACCGAAGACACTTTTCCCTGGACTGCGGACGTTTATGGAGATATAGATTCCCATGCAGAATCGCGTGTCAATCTTCAGTTAGAACGCTAACCCTTTGCACTTGATTCGATAGAGCAAAACTATAAAATTGAATATTTAGTATTTTAAATGAAACTTTGTATTCCTATAGGAAATATTTAAATAAAATCACTTTGTCAATTTATCTGTGAATTACCGTTAAATTAGTTTCAAAGTGTCTGTATCTCGTCGAAAAATGTTGAATATTTCCAGTGAAACACTTTCGAGTGCAAAGGGTCAAACTTCGAAAACCTCTTGAAAATCTATTGCATTTCGAAATTCACTGTACTTCGAAGATTCTGTACACTATAAATTCATAAAATCCGCAGTATTGGTACAGAACACGTTAGTACAGAGTGTGTATAATAATGATCTCGAGAGGAAGAGAAATTACTAAGAAGCTTATACTCTTCGAATATTTTTTCTTAGAATTGTCTCCATGTCAGCTGCTCGAGATTAACGTAATAACGTGAGAAAAGGAAACGTAGAAACTTCGACGGGAACGCATCCGTCGTTCCATTTTAATTTCAATTCTCCCAGCGATTCGAGGTTTGAATACGAACCCCGCCCCAAGGGGCTTGAAACCAGGATATTTCAGGTTCCAATCTCGCGACCCACCCTGTACACACGCGATCCCGAAAGTTTTCGTTCCGCGATACGCCCATTTCCCGATTCATTCTTTCCTGCGGTGTTCTCCTCCGCAATTCCACGGAGATTCCCCGTCCGCGTCGAAACTTCCGTCTCCCAGACACCATGGACCGAAGTTCCGCGGGTTGTCAGTTTCACGCGCCGCTCCCCTCGGGAGCGGAAGCTTCCAGCGCGGGAAGCGGACGAGCACCGCGAACGAGGGCTTGATAATTATTCGGGATCATGGTCGCCTCGCTGATTTTCGTGACCTTCAAATATGCTGTTCGTAGGTCATCGATTTTGAAGTTCTACCTATATTGCATAGTTTTCATCTGTCGTAGCTTTCGAGATATATGAAAGATATTTGTTACGTAGTATTTTCCATTTCTGCCAGGACTTCGGTTATGCTTTAATTAAACTGATTAGGTTTCGTTCGTATTTAGGTTCCGCAATGAAATAGGTTGGCCAGAAAGCGTCGTACGTTGGGACGAAGTCTAAAGAGAGATTTCATTTCGTTGAATCGAAATTTGTAAACTTCCTATTGTCTTCCGGTTTATTTATTTGCAATTACTCGTATGTTACAAACGATGCGCTAAAGGACTAAACTTTTTGGTCAACCAACAAACTACGACCGATAATTCTAAATTTCACGATGACATCGAGTATACCCTATGCACCTCTAAAATTCCCAGAAGCCATTGCACATCTAAATAGAAGCTCGAAACCGATAACCTCGACGACATAGTCCAACGAAAATCCGCGAAGCGGTCACGACCGTCATTCCCGCAGCTCACACTCGAACACCCCGAAACTCGCTCAAACACGCTCAAGCACGCACGCGCACACGTTACTATACATATCTACAATCACGTACATCGATAATAATGGATTGTCGCGACGTTTAATAATATACAATCGGACCGTGCGCCGTGTCTGTCCAAGGAACTCTTCGAAGGGCGCCTGCCGCGAGCGCGTTTCGAGCGTTCCGCCGATCCACCCGGCCCTTCGACACGCGTCAACTCGGAGCCACGGGAGGAAGTTGCAAGGAACCGACCCGCGAATCGTCGGCTCCCTCCCCCGAGCTGCGAAACCGCCTCGAACCGCGACGCGACAATTCCCTCGGCAACTCAAGTACACGTACTCCATTCGACCGGTGTCGCCTTCGATCGGCGACCAGCCGGAACTTGTCCCCGCCCCCGGCAGCGCCGGCAGCTGCCGCCGGACCACTCCTGGAAGATTCATGGCCGATCATCGAGTTCCGTCACGGAGCCCGCAGACTGCGTCGCGGGTCGATACCGAAACTTCGAAGGATCTCGAGTTCCCGGCGAGTTGCGTCCCGATCGCACCCGATGCACCCGATCTCTGTACACTTCATACGGAATCGAACCCCCTTGAACGAGGGGGAACGACGCGAAACGCTGGTCGTTCGGGAATCCCGTGATCCGGGGATCGTCCCGCCGACGGATCGTCGAGTGAGGGTCACCCGCGGTCGGCCCTCTGCGCGCGACACCCGTCGTCGTTCGCCCCGGATCGGTCGCAGGCTCATTTGAACAGTATCCTGCGGAACGCGCGTCGGAAGTCCTTGTTGAAGACGGTGTAGATGAACGGGTTCAGGGCGGAGTTCATGTAGCCCAGCCAGAACGCGATGACGAACGCCTGCGTCGGTATGTCGACGTCCGGGAACAGCGGCTTCACGATGTAGAGGACGAAGAACGGCAGCCAGCAGGCGATGAAGCTGCCCATTATGATGCCGAGTATCAGCGTCGCGCGCTTCTCCTTCTTCCTCGCCAGTCTCCTCTTCTCTCTCTCTGGGTCCCGGGATTTCGAGGACTTCGCCTCGATGCCTGCGTCGTCCTTCCCCGCGGAGCGGCCGACGTCGCCGTGCTCGCGGCGCAGCTTGCCGAGGTTCCGCCGGCCGAAGATCGGCTGGCAGAGGCGCAGCTTCAGCGGCTTCACCACCGCGCACCTGGACACCACGCCGCTGTCCGACGACGACGGGTCGAACTCGGAGACCATGTCGACGTCGATGCCGACGCTCGGCGCGCGGCACCGCGCCGGCACGCTCGATTGCCCGTCCCCGTTCACCGACAGCGTCGCCTTCAGGGATGTCTTCTGCATGTGCACCGGCAGCGTCACCTGTTGACACGCCAGCGAAAGGGGTTCGTTAGTCACGCGTCGCTGGACCGAACGGCTCCGGCTTAGATTTTCGACGGTTTTCGGGGCGGTCGGGAGTGGAGGATTTTCGAGTGGGCTCGGTTTGCTTGGTTTTTGATGGGCTGTGAAGGACGCGTGTATCTGGAGTTGTATGAGGGAACATTTTGATGGTATATGAGAGTTTGGTGGGAATTGGTATTGTGTCTGGTCATGGTTGACTGGTTTCACTAATTAGGGAAGAGTAAGGATTTATTTATGTTATGGAGAATGAAGTCTGTTCCCTTTTGTTCAAGTAACATGAGGATAATTCTAGAAGAAAATTAATGTCGCGTGTTTTATTTGTAGTTTATGAGGCAGGATTGATTTGATGTTCCATGGGAAGACGTTATCGACCTGTTCTCTTTGTTAGAAGTCTCCGAAGAAAAATAATGACAGAAGCTTTTTAAAGGTTTCTGTCGCACACTGTGTTTCAACGAAATCAAAGATATAAAGTCGTCCGTAAAGTTCGTACCATTTCCTGCGGGGTATCTTTATTATCCCGGTCTCCGAAGAAATAAAATCTTGTTCGACCTCGTAAGCAATTCTTGAAAGTAAATTTCTTGCTTCCCACGCGATACTTATAGGACAGTGTTATTGAAAAATCTCTTTTCACTGGGAGATTCCTTTGTCAAAGCATATCCCCTGCCAAGTCTTGCATAGAGTTCTACGAAATTTATTCGTTGATTAAGTAGCTTTCAAATTATTGTCCCTGAAAGTTTACTGGCATGCAAATATTTATCATCAGTGTATAAACAACTCTGCCAATTAAATCAGTATTTCGTGTCCAACTCCACACCGATCAAGGTGACACATTAATTAACAAGAATATCTTAATATCGAATCTACTCGACAATTCTCCATTATCAATTATTCTAATTCAAGTATACTTCTCTATATACAATCTTCTGTCATTATAATTCTCTCCAAAAACAATTCCACAGAGGAAGAATACTTTCGCAACAATCTTTCGAAATCTGATCAAAAGCCACGGTATCCGAGCGCATTCCAAAGTCCACGCCATTCCGGCGAAACCATTTCTAAGCCGTAACAACGTTACGTGCCGGAAATAAAGAATCTCTGTCCACTGACATCCACGGAGACAAAGCGCGCGGCGCTATTTTTAAAGGAGCCTGGTCGAGGCGAGGATACACTTCGCCGGTGATTCGCGGAGCCCGTTTGGCCAGCGATCCGTGTGATTCCATGAGGAATCACGTGCCCTGGAATGGTATCTCATAAATGTTCATTTACGACGCTGGAATTCCAACGGACTCGTACCGAGCGTGACCACTTCGCGATGGGAAATAATATACGTGCCTCATGGTCGGCGAGAAGACAGTACCTACATGTAACTGTAATTTTATTCGCTGGCTGGAAGAATCCTGAAGAAGAATGGGGAATAAAGAGTATACTTAGATACAACTCTAATTTTATCTGGGAAAAGCGTTCGTAGATGTAACTCTTATTTCATCTGGTTGCTAGAGGAATTTTCATGAAGAATGCTGAACGTTGGATATTTAATAGCTAGAATTTTGAAGTTGATGGAGTGAAGAGCACAGATGTAACTCAAATTTTATCCCTTAAATAGAAGAATCTCGAAGAAGAGGATGAAATAAAGAACGTTCCTAGATAACTCAACTTTTATCCATGAAATAGAACCTCGAAGATGAAGATAAAATAAAGAACACTCAGATGTAACTCAAATTTATCCATTAACTTCAAGATTCTTGAAGAAGAAAAGGAAGTAAAGAACTTTCCTAGATAACTCAACTATTATCCATGAAATAGAACCTCGAAGAAGAAGATAAAATAAAGAACACTCAGATGTAACTCAAATTTTATCCATTAACTAGAAGGCTCCCGAAGAAGAAGATGAAATAAAGAACGTTCCTAGATGTAACTCAACTTCCATCCATTACCCGGAAGAATCCCGAACAGGAAGACGAAATAAGGAACGCACTCGGAAGTAACTCTAATTTCATACGTTAGCCAGAAAGATTTTGAAGCGGCCGTGGAACGAGAAGGTAGGAAAGAGAGCATCGAGTGTAGTTTATGAGGAACGATCAGAAGTAGCAATTTCAGAGGGACGGTTGCCGGGCATGATCGATTCGATTCTCGATACACGAGCCGCCGCCGGTGGGGAAACGGCGGTCCGTTATTGTGCCTCGAATCCGCGGCACCTTTATTCGATTCCATTTGTACCGCGACGGGAACCGGCGGCTCCCGGAGTGGGGGGCAAACTGAAATCCAATAGCGAGTCTCTGGTTTCGGAGAGAGAGTTTGCCAGTCTCCATTTTTATGCGGTGCATCGACTGCCTGGGCCCGGGCCCGAGTGTACCCGGGCTGGTGTATTCAGATTCCAAACACAAAACCGATGTTATTGGGTGACTGGGATCGGAATGCGAACGAGGAGACAGATGCGACTTCGAGATCGACTTTGGACACAGACTGTGTGCTTAGGGGGGCGTTTAGAAAGGGCTTGATGTATCGTTTTTGGGGTGAGATCTTGGAGATTTGTCGGGGAACGCCGAGAACTGGGTCGAATCTGATGTGCAAGCGATTTGGGAGACGTTGGTCTGGTATGTGACTGATTCTTACTACTGGGAGGCTTCGGTGGACAGTATTGAAGTGGAATAAGGCGACACTGGGCAGACATGTGTAGACGTTTACAGATAATTCTGGGTTCTACGAGTAGGTTCTGTTGCTGTGTATTGTATACAACAATTCGTATGATTGGAACATGGATAAATAAAGGTAGAGAACAATTTAATACTTTTCGTGATGGATATTGCATATTAATCTAAATGCTCGGTAGTTCTAGTGTTAATATTAGAACTGGTGCAATATTGGTACAGAGTTCAAAGGGTTAAAGCACAGAAGACTTCAGTTTCGACCTGACTCTATACTATTCCAAGAAATTCGAAAAATTCAAGGAAAGAAGCATCCATCAGTAAGCTCGAATCTCAAACTAAAACAAAATGCAACTGAATCGAATGGACAGTTGAACTCTTAAAATTCATTAACATATTTAATATTACAACTGGTGCAATATCGGAGCCTACAGAGTTCAAAGGGTTAACTGCGATTATATATCGAGTCGATATTAACCCTTTGCACTCCGAAGTATTTCGTTAGAAATACTTAACACTTTCCAACTAGACAAAGATGATATTTTCTGAAATTAACTCAAAGAGAAATCACAAGTAAATTGAGAAAGCTCCTTTACGCAACTGAATCGAATGAACGGTTGGACAGTGGGAAATGACGAACCTTCAAGGTGTCCTTCTCCTCCATGGGTATGCTGTTCCCTCCCCCGGGATCGGCCTCGGACGTGCTGACGTCGCTCGCGCAGTCGCACGTGACGATCGGTATCTGAACGGGCTGGTTCTCGATGGTCGCGACGTTCTCCATGACGGAGCACGGCGGCTTCTTGGTCTCGGTGGCCGGCGTGGTCTGCGTGAAGCTGGTCTGCCTGACGTCTGGCGATTCCGGCTGCATCGGCGGACGCCGCCGCGGCTGCTTCCGGATGCCGCGGCGCGCCCGTTTCTTCGCCGCGAAGTATATACGTATGTACACGAACACCATGATGCACGAAGGGATGTAGAAGCTGCCGAGCGCTGAATAAAGGACGTAGCCGATGTCCTCTGAAAGCTGCGAACAGAAACGAACGCCGCGTTCAATGGACCCATTGTCGGGACGGCCCCTTTGTCTCCTCGCGGGGAATCGAACTAATTTATCGTTTGATACTTTATCGCGACGGCGACGTGCCTCTTAGGCTAAATGCGCGCCAGCGATTCGCGGGAGAACGCTGCCGCGTTTCGAAGTTCTTCCGTCTTGCGAAAAGAAGAAAACGAAGATTTGATATTGTAGGAGAATTTTTAGCGACTTAACCAAAAGCTAACCAATACCTAACCAATACCTAACCAAGACCTGACGATGACCTACCTAAGACCTAACCAAACCTTGTAAAGCCGGGGAAAAATTTGTTGAAAAATAAAGGTAAGAGAGTTGCGAGAGCAGAGTCGTGTGTTGGCCTCCGTGGCATTGAGTTGTACTTTTCACGTGTTGTCCGTGTTGTTTCCATATTTTATTCAATACATATATTTATTCCTAGCTCTCGATTACCTAAGATCCACCATTTCATTATCTATACTATAGTAACATTATAATATTTTTATCAAATTCTTTGGGACTTCTGCGAGAGTGTCCTATGGGAAATTTGTACCGTTGCTTAATTGCAGTTGTATTTATTAGGGAATGATTATTGTTAGTATATTCTTGAACTCTTGAAGCTAAATGTCATTTGGCATTTAATTCTAGAGCTTTACGTTTCTAATCTTCCAAAATCGCGGAATCTCCCAATGATATTGCACTGGGATCCTCTCGCTCGTGTGCGCACAGCTTTAATATTGCTATTCTCGATTTATTGCGTCCGATGCTTGTTTTTACTGCCCCGCAATTAAACACCGGCCGAAGGTATCCCTTTCATCGTCTGCGAGTCGACGGGACATCGCAAATGAAATTTCCACGGGTCCGCACGCCTTTGACCAACGACTGACTGATTCGATTCATCTCTTCCGCTGCTTCGGATTTATGTCTCTATTTTTCTGTCCACGCTCGCGCATTCCGCGGCTGGCGCGGTTCAACTTGTGATCGGCGAAAGGATCCAGTCCGAATTTGTACCGCGAATCACATTCGCGATTCACCGTTATTCACGTACAAAACCTCAATATCTCTATTTCATTCTTTATCGTTAACGTTCAGGTGTCTTTATTCCTTCACTGTCAAACAGGAAATAATCCTATTCTCCACCGTTTGCTCTGATGAATGGAGAAATATTCGAGATAATCGAGAGAAACCGTGAATCGGTTGCTGCGACCGAAGGGTTAAAGGTAGTTTCACGACGAACGGCGCGAAGCGAGCGATACGCAGAGAAACGTTACGTCGCGTACGTGGCTGCAGGGTTTCCGTTCAAGGGGCGTGCACAGGCGTGCGAGTTGCCGTTTAATACAATTTAATTTACGGACAGGCGGCGCCGCGAACTCGCTGGAACGGAACGGGCCGCCGCTCCTGAACGCAGGACGTTTGATTCCGCGCAATAACTCCTGCGCGAGCGCGCGTTTCGCGTTCCATTTGCATACGAATTATTAACGACGGTTACCGACGCTAACGGCTGCGTTAACGAAAACGCCGCCGACGTTCCTTTATTTATTATGCGCGACAGGCCGCGGATCGCGGCTGTTTCTCATCCAACGGGGACGTTGTTCGCCGATTCACGGTGATCGTCCAGGTTCATGGGAATTTGCATTCATCGGAGAGGCCTGAAAAATCACGACTGCGCTACTTTATCTTCTGGGTCAATTCTTTTGGCGCAGTCAAATGATTTAACACTTGGGCGACCACCTAAAAAGAACTATAATTAGAATCTCCTTCGTTATCTTCAATTGAACTCATTCAATTCGGTTAGAAACTGCGTTTTGTAAAGAGAACTGTATTTGATGAATTGCAAGTAATCCCACTTCAAGACTTACTAAATAACAAAAGGAAAGATAAAGGCAATACGTTGCTAAGTGAAAAGTGGGAGACCTCCGCATTCGGTTGGCTAAGTTAATATTCTATTCTTTCCATTTTGTGTATTTTTCTCTATGAAATGCGGCGTTCAACGTGTTAACACTAAAACTACCAGAGGAGTCAAATGACCCATGTCTTCTTTTCGCAATTATTAGAAAGGTAACAAATATTTCTCTGAAAAATTATTAAAGAAATTCATTCAGCACTACGCAAATTGAACTGTAAATCAATTAAAGTCTGAACAGATGCACTCTTGGAGTTTCCATAGCAAAATTTTCAAAAGTCAATTGAAGTGCTCGGTAGTTCTAGTGTTAAATCAATAATTCGAATGATGAAACAATAACAAAATATTTCCAGTACGAAAAATACTGAACCCTCCGAAACCCAACAACGCTTCGACCACAATCCCACGGTTCGTGTTCTTAATAACAGCGGCTTGTAATTCAGCGTAGAATCTCTCCGAGGATTCTACCGCTCGAAATTCGCGGAAGCTTGTAACACGATAAAGTGCATCCGTAGGATGCTACGACTGCGGCGAGAGCTCATTGCCGATATCCGAGCCGGCGTTCTTGTTCCAGCGGCGCCGCCGACTATTCGAATTTCCTGCGAGAAATAGGGGACAGGCTTTATTTAGTCCCGCCTAACATCGAAGTTGGACTTTACCGAACGAATTCCGGCGGCGGTGACCGTCGCCGAGCTAACCGTAGCTTCTGGTTCTACCTTAACCAGTCATAATCCCCGGCATCGCGTTACACGCCGCCGCCCTCGATTTCAGGCGGCTGCTGCTTCGCCGCGCCGCGCCGCGCCGCGCGGAGCGTCTCGCGGAGAAATAATGAATCCTCGCCGGGGAAACAGACGGCGCGGAGGGACCCGGCGTGAATTGGGTTTACGGCGGCGACGTGACTCCTCCGCGTTCCGCGGGATTATCAATATCTATGCGGTTCTGTAATGCCACCCTATTTATGGTTGAGCCGCGTGTGCCGGAGGATCCCGGGCGGATGTGCTAACACCTACCTATACCGAGGCGCGTTCGTTGTCTGCCTTTTTTATCCCGGCCGACCCTGCTACAGGGGAAATCCATTTATCTCCGAGGAATTTTTGTAAGCGCGCGATTAAGGAATTGTGGAGGGGACAGTGTTTGGTCTGGCGTTGTTTTAATCGTGTGGATACTTCGCTGTTTTAGTTGACACTTAAGCAGTTGACTGTGTTTGACGAGTACACGCGTCATCTTAAAATTCTTAAGGGGGTTTTTTCAACGATGGAGTATTTAGTTTTTCGGACAAACGTGTAATTCTTCTTCGTTTCGCTGTAGTTTTTCGTTGGGATATGTTTGAAGCGCATTTGGCCTGCATTTATTGAGTATACACTTCATTATTTGATTTTATTGCGCAATGAGAGATTTTTCAAACTAAGTTCTACGCTTAACTGGTTAAGAAAAATATTATTTGTAATAGTTAGAGAATTTATTACTTTTCAAGGATCAATCGTTAATGTTTGGAGCAAATGTTATCTTCTTAAATTCTTTCCTTTTTCTAAATATCGACGATGTAGCTTGATCGTACAGTTCAATCATTTGCAAACTGTAGTATATTGTAATTGTTAAGATACGTGAATGTTGTTCTCGAGTTGAGGTTCGTAGTCGTGAAAGACTTTGGTCAGAGAGAATGAAGCTGTTATCAGAATTTCAAAGGGAGAACATTTATATTTTTACCGTATCAATACACGAATCCATTAATACCGAGGTTGCAGTTATTCAGGCGTATTTATAGGGCTCGTATTTCACGACAATCGTCGGGAAACGTTGCAAGCAATAAAAGTGTACACGAGTGCAACAGGAGTTCGTTCTTCCGAACCTATAGAATTGTAAAGTATTCCCCGCGTCTACTCGATATCGATTTATTCTACTTAGCATGACTTCGGAAGCTGCTCTCACAGTAGTGAGAGTCGGTCACGGGTCAGCCGCACAGAAAACGGCGTTCAAAGCACACTACCGTACTTCTACTTTGCGACTGGCATCGAATTCCTCTACAAATATCCCAGATTTTCTTTCCTACCGACGTACCGAACCTTTTCCTTCAAAAGCACAAGTTGAATTTCTATATTTCACCCTCTGCAGAATGCAATTCGAGTACCTCACGGTCAAACCGTTCCTAAAATCAACAGCACTATCCACCTACATCAGTTTACACTGTCGCATTCAATTAACCCTCTGTAGGCCCGTGTAACTTTGAAGTCACGTGTCAGTATATCGGCATCTTGTCGATCTATTTGATTTTGCACTCGAAGTGGCGAATAAAATTAAGTAATCTTAACTTCAACTTTTATATTTATTTAGGCGTGAAAGTTTAACGTCGTAATTTGAAAGTTAGATATATTCCTTTGATGGAATTATTGAAATTATTGAATACATTGCTAATTCGCATTCCTATGTGGACATTTATTAATTTTGTACTGTATATATTTTGTTACAATCATGAACAAAAATTCGGCCCATAGAGGGTTAACATTGACGATGCTTCTATTGAGAAATTGAAGAATTGAGAGACACCGAGTCTGACAACAGTAATTAATGCGTTAATAATAGCAGCGTTATACATGTTTGAAGAGAAGCGTTTCAAAGATAATTGCTCGAAGAGAAATTACTTTACATGTACACTTAAAAAAAGGGCCATACAATGTCCACAAACTTCCAAAGTTCTCCAGAAACTCATACACTCAGAACCATCCCCATTACTCAATCCAATTATTCAAAGCAGAGCTACACATCAACGAACATTTCGATTTTACAAATCGACGTTGTACATCTCAGAGAAGCTCGACCACTCCTTCGTTCTTATCACGCGTAAACGGCCAGTTATTCCGCGCAGACGGTCCCCGGGATCCCGAAGTCCCTCGTAAAACGATTAACGCTTATAAAATTTCATCTGCGCGCGGTGGACGTTTAATCTCCCTTTTCCGAGGGCGGCTGCCGGCTCCTTCGCTTTTCATATCGTCCGGCGGTCTAATAAGCGGCGCATCTAGACCGCACCGTGCCGGACCGCTTTTCCTCAGTCCGCCGGACGAAGGGGATTGAAAAAGAG